GTTCCACCAATTCCTCCATAATGAATTTCAAGGGAATGATTGGAAAAGTTACAAGAAGATGAAGAGGTTTTGTAAAAGTCTATAGAAGGAATAAAACAAAAGTCAATAAGTTCAGGGTTACATAAAATTAGGAAAGAAACATTAAGAAGAGCGAGTTGGACATTTTTTTGTTCATGAGAGAATCCCATTCAATGCTATGGAATCTCCTTGGTTTTTAAAAATGCTTAAAATTTTCATTGAAGTTGGTTCTAGAATTCCAACTCCTAGTGCTTATGATCTTTTAAAGGAGTATTTAACATAAGAGATGATAAATATGAAGAAGTACATCAAAGATTACAAAAATATATGGAATGAGATATATGTCACAATCATTTATGATGGATGGTCCGGACCGACTAAAATGTGCTAACAAAAGATACTAAATATTAGTTTCGGATTGATGAAGAAAGTGGTGGATGAAGTTGGTGAACATAGAGTGGTCCAAATAGTGACCGATAATGAGATTGCTATGAAAGTTGCGTGAAAAAAGTTAATGCAAGTTTATCCTCACTTATATCGATCAACTTGGTCTCGCTCATTGTTTGGATCTAATTTTAGAAAACATTGAAAAGAAATCCAAGGTCAAAGAAGTGCTTGAGAAGGCAAAAAATTTACCCAATTTATTTATAATTTTAATTGGATAATTAATTATATGAAAAAATTTACTAATGGGTGTGACTTACTTCGGCTTAGCATCACTAGATTTGCCACCAATTTTATTGCTTTTGGAAAGCATTGTTAAGTTTAAGAATACACTAAAGGAGATGTGAAAGTCGAAAGCTTAGAACAATTCTAGATATGATAGGATGATGGGTCGACTTGCTATTGACATTCGCATATTAGTGCTTGCAAGAATATCAATAAGCAATAAGATTCTAGAAGAAGGTGGGTAAAGTGATAGCTATCGAGGAGCCAATTGTAAAGGTTTTGAAATTTATGGATGGCGATGATAAGCCGACTATAGAGTTTATCTACGAAGCACCGTAAAGAAAAAAGTCAAAAATTCAAGCAGACTTTTTGATATTCAAAAATGTGGTGCGACATAATTGATAAATGATGGGAATTTCAATTACATATAGACTTACATGCAGCTAGTAAATATATAAATTTGCATAAATTAATCATAGCAATCTAAAGATATCTTCAATTGTTATTTATGGTTAAATATCATTTAGAAGTAATGTTATTTACTCTTTTTGTTTTTGTAGGTTATTTTTTGTATCCCCAATATTATGATGTACTCCGAGATAATCTAATTTATCAAGATGAAAAAATCATGCAAAGTGTCAAAAGTGCAATTATGAGATCGAACTTGACATTGATAAGCAAATCAAAGCCATCAATGAAGTTAAATAATTTTGTGAATTGTGATAATATAAGATGCTAAAAATCCTTAATATCATATGATATATATTAATATATAATATTATTAAAATATTTTTTTAATTTAAATATCCAGTTGGAGTTATATAGTTTGAAAAAAACAAACGTTTGGCTTAACCGTAGCTCACAAAGTCGTTTATTCAACAAATTCAACAAATCCAGGTGCTTTATTAATTTATAAAGGTTCATACTATAAATATTATTGGCTTTATTTATTTATTTATTTTTAATTTATGAAAATTTATTTGTTCAATGTAGTCGAGTGGTGGAATAGTTATGGAAATGATGCTCCGATGCTTAGAAAGATTGCAATGCAAATTTTGAGTCAAACAACTTTCGCTTTAAATTGTGAGAGAAATTGAAGCACTTTTAGCTTTGTGCATACGAAGATAAAAAACAAGTTGAAGTATCAAAAATAACACACACTTGTTTATCTTCATTACAACATAAAGCCGAGGTTAAGAAATACATTGCGGAAGAGTAAAAAAGAATTAGAGGAAAGTTTTAATCCAATTGATTTGGATTATATGTTTTATGAAGATGATCCACTTGTCCGCTTGGTTGGAGGAAAATGAACAACCAATCCTCGATGGATAAAATATGGATTGTTTGCATGTGCATGATGATGATAGCGATGATAATGATGATGATGAAGAAAACGATCAAAACAATCCTAATGATCAAACTAATCCGCATGATAGTGATGGTGTCGATGATCAAGATGAGGAACTTGGTGATCTAGGAGCATCTCATAACGAGTAATAGTAGCAACGGCAATGATGGGGGTTGTGGAAAGGGAATAGCTTTTGATAGTAGTGTCAATCTAGTTTTATATAAGCGTGGGTTGCATAGTCCTACTCGCTCCTAGATCTAGTGCTAGAAATAAAACACCAATAATAGAACAATATCAATCTAGTGGTACCATATTGTATGATAAAGGATATCACTTTGTCTCTTCCGAAGATAGTTCGACTTCTAGCTTCAATAATGGTCGTGGACAATACTACCATACCACCCACAACGTCCATAAATATATGATTATGTATCTTATGATTCATATGGTGCTTCATCGGATCGGTTAATTTCAAATCTACAATATCCTCAAGTAATTGGATCATCTATTGGTGCTTCATTATTTGCGCAGTTGGACTTGGAAGGACATCATAGTTATGATTGTAATTTTGATAGACAAGGATCACAATATCTACAACAAGATGATAACTATTATTATGATCCTTTACGACGATCTTTTTTGAGATAAATATTTTATAATGTTTCTACTGAAATTATAATATATTTTATTATTTTTCATGTGATATTAATCTATTGAAAATGTTAATAATTATTTTTTGAAATAAATTTGACTATTGTTATATGTTATTAAACTATTACGTACTAGAAGCCGGAAATGGGAAGAGTCTACTTTGCTGAGTTTTGTAATCAATCACTTGAAACACAATAGGTAGTAGATGCAATTGAAATATTAATATTTGATGAGTATACCATGAGCAAGAGAAGAAGAATTAAGTAAAGAAACAAATTATACAAGTACAAAGTCATTTCAGCATGTTATTAGTTTACTTGGTCCTATATTTTCTTTTTTGTTCCTGTTTTTTAAGCTCAAAGTAGTTCTGTTGAGTTCTTTATTAGCTCTACCTCTTATTTTCAAGCAAAAACTGTACAAATTCTTAGCGAGTCAGACATTTGCACCCATACAAGCATTCACAGATTGGAATGAATAATTTTTCTTATAGTGACCACCAAGAATAAGATCTGGTTAACTCCAACCTTTTATTATTATTGTAAAATGGGTATTGATATGGATAAAGATGAAAAAAAATACATATAGTTAATATGTTTTTAGAGTATAGATACTCACTTTATACACTACTATACCCACATATATATATATATATATATATAACATGCAGGAACCTAACTGAGCAATATCTATAAAGTAGGAACCAAACTGTTTTTTACAATAACCTTGATGACCAAAAAAACTTATAAATAAAGAACCAAATTATAAAAAAAATATTAATTCTAAACACTAAAATAACTTTTTGAAAAATATACGGATTAAAATAAAAAAATTTGAAATTTTTTTTTAACATGTATTAAATAAATATTAAATGAGCAGGTAAATTAGGCATGAGTTTATGCAGAAAATCTCAATAAATGATTAATATATTATGAATTAGGATTCCGAGCTACAAAGGATTGGCATTCGAACCAAATTTTCAAAGCCTCTGTACTAAGGTAAAATATAGCAAACCGCTCAATTTTTTCTGATAATTCTCTCTCTGCACAATTCTCTCTTTGTACAATCAGTTGCTCCCTTAACTAACAACTAACTTATATTCTCACTGTTACAAAAAAATTTACTTTTATTTTCTTATTAATTAAATGTTTCAACCAAAAAAAGAAAATCGAATAAATAAATAAAATAGCAATAAGAAATTAAGAATTAAAGAATGCCTACAGGTTTACTGTGATGTAATATTAAGATGCTACGCTGGTGCATTCAAAATAAATATTTTTTTCTTGCAATCTTTATGAGTTCCAACTCTAGACAATAATGTTGTAAATAAATTTCCTTATTACCTGCATCAAGCCTCCAATCCAATGAACTTTTCCTTTGTTTTCCTTGGTTTAACTTCAGTGAATTTGCAGTGGCAGTTCAAAAGAAAGAAAGAAGCAGCAGCAGCAGCAGCAGCAGCAACAAAGAACGAACAGTGATATGAAGGAATCAAATAATGAGGTACTTTACAAAAAAAAAAAATGCTAGAAAAAATCTCCTCCTGGAGTCCTCAATTTGGTTTTCCAAGCCAAAGAGGAATAATTCTTTCTTTTTATGCAAGGGTTTAAAACGTGCATGCTCCATAGACTTGAGACGAACTTCGGTTCAAAATTCGTAATTTAATGAAATACTGACTTTTCTAGGGTGAAAATTAACAGTTAATATTACTTACCCATTTTCATTCATTAAGCCCATTTTATCCAGTAGTTTAAATTTTCTGCCTTACTGAAAGAATAAACTGTCCAGCAAGGTTGATATCTGCCATACAATGTTCTTGCACAAACTTTTTTTTTTTTTTTTTTTATTCTTAGGGTATTCTAAATCCAAACTAATCCCTCGAATTCAAAACTATTTAAGCAATTAAAACACTTTCCGTTCAAATCCTACTTTCACAAATGCAAGAAGAAAAAAAAGACAGCCAAATTTGCATAATCAGCTTAGACGAATAAAAAAAACGGAAATTAAAATTTCTTACTTTCCGATGGGGGAGTGATGAGCGATGATATTAAATATTCGAAGAGAGAAGAAAAGGCTAAAGAAAAATGATCTGTTGTTGTCCGGGGGGCTCATTTGCCACAACTAGGAGCCGACAAAATAGATACATCAACCAGATTTTCTGTTGGATGATAAAAATACAATAGAAAATACAGCCAGCCTTTAACTTCCTGGTGATTGCAGTCTGGCAAAACTTATTAGGTAATCTTATTTAGCTAACCTTATTAGCTTTATTATTCACAACTAAAAGCACATGGAGCCAACAGCACAGCACTCATACCCTTCAGAGTCTTGCATTACGAAGCTGTTGCTTCAGCATAGGGCGAACATATTCATGGTAGCCATCAGGCACAACCGAGTCATTCAGAGGATCCTTCCATGCTTCTTCATAAAGTTTGGGATACACATTTCCATCATAGCGTCCGAGAACCGACCCAAGGTAGTGATCAGTGTAATTAAATGCATCGACAAGTGCAATTGCATTGGGACGGATCTAAACCATGACATCAGAATTCAGAAATAGAGCATAGATAACACAAGTAAAAAGATTAATTGAATAAATCACCTGAAACTAACCTGGGAATATAAAGATCTCAGCTGATCATTTGCAAGTGAAGCTTGCTTTGGGGTAATGCAGCCAGTCGAGAGGAAATCACCCAGATAATTGTGAAGAAGGTTTAAAGCATAGATGTAGCAGAGATTCTGCAACTGTTGCTTCACCCCATTACCTGGTATATCTTGCTGCAATTTGTCAATGAACCTGGAAGCGAAGGAAAATTTAGATGATTGTTTCATAAAATATAAAGAATCAGGATCAGCATCTAGATTTGGTTTCTCTGGTTACCAAACCACCAAAAGTTGCAGAACGTGCAATTAGTATGGATTTAGATATCTCGGATCGTGCTTCACAGACAATATGACACAGAGAGCTTCTTCAATTCACTCAAAAATCAAAGCCATCCTTGCATCACTTTCTCAAACACTAGATACTGATACAGCACAAATGTTTAACAATGTATAGGCCTTTGGCTCATTGGTAAAGGTTAAATTCTTAACAAATACTAGAAATCGAACTTGTTACACCCCTGCAAGAGGTGGCCACATTAGCCCCACATCTTTGCTGTGGTGGTCAGATTTATCCCTTGCCGAGTCAGGTATTTAGTCAGGCTCCCCCTCCCTCCTAAGACTAACAGCCAAACACTGATGCATATTGGCTTGTCAAAAAAAAAAGTTAACAATGTATAGTCAGTCACAAGCTTCAGCTCTATTCATGTGTACCAGAGAGCCAAACGCCTATTGTCCATGGTTTGTTAAATCTGGCATGACAAGTTTTAAGTTGGCACATGGAGATGAATGAACTTACTTGGAAACAACAATTAATTGGCAATGAGCAACAGCAGCCTCAACTAGATCAGCAGAGAGTTCAGCAAAACCTGAAGCAAAAGGATGAATAAGTGGAAAGACATGTAATCCATCAAGAGACATGTGACCTTGAAAGAACCAACAATACTCTCTTGGCTCATGAGGGGAACTTATAACCAGCAGAATGCAGCAATTTCAATTTCATAATCAAGTGCCAGTCTTTCTATCAGCGAAATTGAACTACTAAAACTGCTGCCCAGAAAATCGGTCAAAACTAGCCGCCAGTGGGGGTTGATAAATGTTGTCTTGGACTTTGAAAAACAAATTCCCCTTGCTCCAACCATCTTCAACTGCTCCCCACACATATTTGGTAGAAACAAAGTATAAAAGAAGAGACCATCTTCTACCTAAATCAAGGAAGAGAAGACATACCATCTTCAGGATTTTCAAATTTGCTAAGATTTTGAGCACGGGCAACACACATCCTGGCAGACCTGGCTTCAAATGCCTCCAGTACTACACTAGGCTTTAACCAATCCTCAGCTGCATATGTGGAATAAATAACACTGACTTAAGCACGTGCATATGTACTATTTCAAGAGAAACGACTCATTGGCCGTCCACTAAGTAGATATTTTATAGAGAATTAGGTTGGTTAAAATTGCAATCAAAGAGCAAGTGTAATCTGAAACCAACAAACACCATCTAATAAAATACGTCCAAGAAATTAGATTCATTAAGCCTAAACTCCTATCAATTTTATACAATTAACTTATCGTTCACCTAATTTTAACAACAAAAAAATAAATAAAGCTCTAAGAAGCACGTAACAGAAAAGAAACTAATAAGGCATTACCTGTTTGAACATCACAACGACACTGCAAAAGATCCTGCACTCGTCCCAAATAAGCTGTTGTTCCAACAGGCTTTTTTCCAGAACCAAGCTGAGAAACAGTCTTCACGAGAAACCTTGCAACCTACAGAAAACATTTTTTTAAGTAGAAAGTCAAAAACAGATCAACTTATTTTAGATGAGTTGCATATTTGAATATCTGAAAACACAGCAGGAAAACTAAATTAGCCTGGAAAATCATCTTTCAGAAAAGATGTATAACAAAGTCCAGACACCAGTTCTCCATTTATCAAGTTACAGCCCATCCTATACTATCTCAGTTATGGATGTGCATCATAAGCCTCATAAACCAAATTTGTGATAGATTCCCTCCATTTTATATGTATGGCAAGGGCCAAGTAATTTGGACAACAATTTTGAAGGGTTTCAATTTGGTTGCCTTTCACTCAGAGTCTAGTGCTCACTATCCAATTCAAGTTTCCTAGGCAAGCTTTTTAGTCAAAGAGTCTGGACTCCTATTTCTTCTGTCTTCTTTTCATTTTTTCCCTGGATTTACAAGGATGTTTTCCTATCTGCTATGTGCCAGGACACACAGAAAGATTCAGAGATAGAGTTCTGTATAAAGATTTTACGTGCAACCATTATATTCCCATCTTGGCCATGAATTATCTTACTTTGCCCGTGAACATACAGAGGTCAAATCACATATTAATAGGATTACACATGCGATTGATCTGTAATTTTCATTCTCCAATGTTTGTAAATCAAGCTCAATCCAGGGTTCTATCATAAGAAATATAATGGAATAAGGCATAATCTGCCTTCTTCCACCAAAGAAATACTTCAATCATCACCTGTTGCCATATCTAAAATGAAAACACAGATACTATTGAATACAAGAATGATGACACTCAATGTTCCATATACCTGTAAAAGGAGCACAATGTTGTCTCCTTCATAGGTACAGGCAGGGACGTATACTGCAAACAATTCAGGAAGCCCACTAGCACAAAGATAACCATGGCCACCACATAGTTTCCTACATTCTTCAATAGCATCCTGCAGCCAAAGAGAACTTTTATCTTAAGAAACTGATGTTTTAGATCAATCATAACAAATAAGAAACAGACAAAAAAAGTGTCATGCTTGAAGCTAATTCTAGAGAACTCTACCATCTGGACCCAGTTCAAGCACACACAATGTTGTTGTGTAGATAATGATAAAAATATTAAGCCCAAGATAGTAATTGATTGCACAAGACAGAATAGCTAAAAAAACCACCATAGGAAAATCTTTGCTTCATCAACCACGACATTTGAAAAATACTTACATGTGGATTTATTAATAGTATGTCACAATTTTGTGTTCTGCAAATGCATGAATTGGTGAGCAGTGCTAATCTAGAATAATCACATTTTAGACAGTAAATTGAAGAAAGTAGGGTCATCTTTCCAGAATAGCATTATTCCAGCAAAACAATTCAGGAAAGTATGAGGAAACTGATAAAATTAGGAAGTCTTTCAAGCATGCTCAGAAGTGCATTGGGTCATGAGTTCAGTTTTAAATTAAGATTGCAAAGTTTAAGCTCCATGAAGCTCAAAAGCACTTTAGCAGCTTGGCTTGTGAAACCTCATTATGCTGCCAATCCTTCAGAGAGCAACAAATAACCAAGTTTGAAGAGAAGGGAAACCAACTGATAATTTTTAGTAGAAAAATGTCAGTAATTGTTACATACAGCAGTGGCAGTAGTAGTCAAAGACTTCAAACCCGCAGTACATGCATGAGCCTCAGGTAATGTAGAAAAATCATTAGCTTGCAGCCTCTGGGTCACATCCGTATAAAGCCATTTCAACCATTCACCAACAAATCTGAATGCATAGGCAGAAGCCAGCAAAGGGAAGAGTCTATTTTGCTGAGTTTTATAATCAATCACCTAAAAGAGAGTAAATAGCAAGAACATTAGAAACATTCTCTGGCAGCAACTAACACCTAAACAGGGTAGATTGCAAGAACATTAAAACATCCTCAGGAAGCAACTAAATACCAATGTCCAATCAGCTGGTGGCGAGAGAGGGGACCAAGAACACTTTCTAACACAGCTTTCAAGATTATACTCTTTAGTTTGGAACAAAGAAACAAATGATACAGATACACAGTACTTAAACGGTCATTTTAGCATAAGCCATAACAGAGAATATATACAGCCATTTCAACCAATTAAAATAGAGATACATGGACAACTGTATTGGTACAAGCATATGTCATGAAATCTACATCCATAGCAGTCTTAACAATTTGGTATAATCTAAAAAAAATTATATTCTAGCTAGATTAGCAAAAGATCAGGGCGGGGAGGATTTTTGCCTTCACTGCTTCACCCTCGATCAGGGCAGGCTCTATACCCTGAAACATATGTTTGTTTTCTTTTTCTTTTTTTTTTTACATTTATTAATAAATTGGTGCATAAATATTGAGAGCAGTGAAATATTATAAATTAATAATGTAGATAAGCATTATAAAAAAAATTATAATATTTAGTTATTTAGGGGATTGGGGCACAGCGGGCTGTGGGAAGACCTCCTCATTCCGCATCCCCCGTCCTGCCAGGTTGGGTTGGATTAAATTGCCAACCCCACTGCCAACTGAGCAGAGGTACTAAGATCTTCTCAATGGCCAGCAATTACCAGCTTACCCTAAATTTTGAGTGACTATAAATTAAATGGTGCTCACCAACTACCAGTAAATTTATTGGAACTAAGTTGCCTCTGAGATATTTAACAGAAGCATCCCAAAATGATTATATCAACAACTAATAAAGAAAGTTTTTGAAGTATACCTGGGTCTCCACACCACCATCCTGTGAACCAAATTGTCTGCGGACAGCGCTATACCTTGTAGCGATACAAACTGCCCGAGATAAAGCAACAGAAGCATCAGCTACAATTGATTGGCGCACGAACACCATAGTGCCATAAATCAACTGCCGCGGAACATTGGATTGCACACATTTCCCTTCCCTTGTAACCTGCAACACTCTGCAATGTTCAAAGCAAACTTTAGAAAAAAAAATCACATGTAAAATTTTGGTGCTATGAAAGGTGACAATCTGAAACCTTCTTAAAAAGTGTCAAAATTTCACTATTAACTAAGCAGACAAAAGGAAGCCTCAGACCATTTCAATGCAAATTCCAGAAGTGGGGTCAATTCAAGATGATCAATTATGATCCTACAAGAAACTTATGGCATCTCAAAGCTCTAAGAGGAAAGCAAGAAAAGAGAGAGGAATGAGAAGTACCAACCTCATCAACATCTGGTTCCTTGGGATGCGTACATGATCAAATTTCAAAACACCATTATCCATGGTGTTATATGCCCCATTTCCAAATTTCATTCCAATATCACCAATGGTTATGCCTGGAAGAGGCATGTGATCATCCATGCTCCTAAGCTGGACAATAAAACCTGAAATTCGTATTTTAATACACTTAATTAACACTCGGTGAACCATTTTCAAAATGGGAGATTCAGAAAAAACAGTTTTGGTGCTTACCATGCACTCCATGTTCTTGGCCATTGGTTAGAAGGCGTGCATAAACAACAGCATGTGTGGAAATTTTACCCAATCCTCCAGGCCACCACTGCAAAACAGAAAGCAGTAAAGATAGAATCCTTCGCCAATAAGAAGAGTGAAAAATCTTGATCCAGTTTCTATTCAATATATCACACTTGCGGCAAATTCATTTCCATGCATCACATGGATGCTCAACCACATTCGCATGATAATATGAACGCTTCTCTCCAGTCTCCATACGTGATATTGGACCAGTCTCATACATAATCAATGAATCTATCTCAAAGAAATTAGTTAGGCTCTTAAGGGCCAGTTTACTTACTTTGCATGAAGTTAATGTAGGACTATGAATGACAAACTCATCAGTCTCAGGATCAAAGGTTGCAGTTGTTTCAAGCCCTTGAACATTGGATCCGTGACCAAGTTCAGTTTGCGCATAGCAGCCAATTATCTGCATCTTATATGCCAACGGTAACCACTTCTGTTGCTGCTCGTCAGTGCCTTGTCCTTTAATAGCAGGTACAAACATTCCCTGCCGCCACACACACACACACCAAAAAAAGGGAAAAGGGAAAAGGGAAAAAAAGAAGAAGCAAAGAAAGGAACACGGAGACCTTGGTTATAATCATCAACAAACGAACATGGAAAAGGCACCTTCACCTTTATATATCAAATAAACAAACATATTGAGAAAGCAACAATTAATGCAGAACAAGGTGTAGACTGTAGAGCTTACCCAATGAAGATCCGTAAAAGCAGGTTCATCCACAAAAGTCCTTAGCCTACCAGCCTCTTCTTCTGTAATAAGATAATTTCCGAAGTTAGATCAGAAACAAAACGAAAAACACAAAGAAAAATTATAACAAAAAATTTAAGGGAGGGGATGAGCAACAGCATTGTAAAACAAGTTCAAATCCTCAGTAAAAAGATGGACAGACCAGTAAGGCGAAGGTCAAGGATACGTTTCCATGCGTGAGCTGCTTTCCTCAAAGTGTTTTTGAACAATTCCTTCCTCCCTAGCCGAGTTCTGTTATCCTTTTGAAATGCCTACAAACCCATCAACATAGATAACAAATTAAATTAAATCAAATTAGAGGAAAAGTGATGGTCAATACTAATAAATAACGAAAAATGATCAGTTGCAGCTAAAATAATAGTAAAATTAGAGTAACGAAGCTTCCGTGAAATTTCCAGTCTGTCCTCCAAGGACCAACTCCAAAGAGAGAAGGAAAGAAGATTACCGGATCGGAGGCGACAAGACGAGCCATGCGATCTGAGACTTCAAAGGCATGGCGAGAACCAGCCCAGACGATCTTCATCGCATCCACATCGAACTCTGTCTTGTTCCTCTCGTGAGCCAAGTGATCCACTCCTTCCATTTTCTTTTGTTTTTTCAATTCGATATTTTTTTTGCAAATAAACAAATCTGAAGATTATCAGATTCTATAAAATGGCAAAGAGAGAGGAATAGAGTTGAATGTTGTTCTGGGGAGAGAGAGAGAGAGAGAGAGAGAGAAGGTTCAATAGAGCTTGTTAAAATAATTAAGAAAAGGGAAGGGCAGTATTTATGGTATGGTTTGGTTTGGTTTGGTGGGAACGAGTGAGGAGAGCATTCGCAAACACACACACATGCATATGCTGTTTTATTTATTTTTTAAAATGATTTAAGTAATGTAGTAATGCGGTGCCGTTGATTGCCTCGAAATGGATATTTATACTCTCAATGACTGGTGCTTTCCTAGGCGGTTTTTTTTTTTTTTTTAATAACTGTATGACGTACACATCAGTCTGGACTGTGGACTGTGGATGGACAGATATCCTTTCTATATAATACTACTGTTATATTTTCCCACGTGGAAATTTTCGAGATATTTCACTTGGTTTTGGGTCGGAAATCCTTTTAGGCTTATTTTACTAAACTTTAGCATGTGCTAACCTTTCGTACATCTCCATGATCCTGACAGAACTCTGTTACTTTAATCTTACGTTATTGATTAACTTGTTATTAATCAATCAGATGCTATCACCTGATATCAAAATAATTTTTTAAATTAAAAAATAGTGATTTTTTAGTCTAAATAAAAGGAACAGAAATTCAAATTTTGAAAAGAAGAAGTTCAATCAGAATTATTTGTAATAAAATGAGAAAAAAAAATACCTGCTGTAACTAATTATCTGTAATAAAAGAGGAAATGAAAGAACAAAATTGAAATAATAATTTTTTTACTTTTTATTTCAAAAAATATTTGTTTGTCACATGGTAGTGTATGATTGGTCAGCTTTAAGTTAACAATGACAGAAGATAACAATTTTTTTTTTGCAAAAATAGATAAAAAAAATATTTGTAGTTCTAAATATTAAAGTAAAAAAATAATTCTTATCTTACATTATATAGCCAAAAAATCTATGGACTTTCCATGAATAAAAATATTATATGAATCAAAATTAAGTAAAACAAGTTATATGATTAAAAAAAAGTAGTACATGACATAACAGTGATTATTATTATTATTATTATTATTATTATTATTATTATGCCGTTCTTGGTTTACTCATTGTTTTTAATTTTGATTACAGTATTTTTTTTTTAATTTCTAAAACGTATGTTTGGATAAAGTTAACTAATTAGCAAAAAGAAAAAAAATTACAACTTCTTCTTCTTCTTCATTTTCCAGTTTTTGTATATTTTTTGGTTTATAAAAGGTGTGTTTGGATAAAGTTAACAAATTAGCCAGAAGGAAACATTACAACTTCTTCTTCTTCTTCGTCTTCACTTTCCTGTTTTTAGTCTTTTTCTAACATTAAATTAACTTTCCATTTAGTCACATTATTTTGCAGTTTATTGCTGTGATTTATCAAGAAACAGAAATTTCATTCCCACACGAGAGTACGGTCGGGTCCACCAAGGAAAAGTCTTAAGTTCTGACCTTACTTGCCCCTTATATTTTCATTGGCCTACCGTGTGCGACTACAATAGTGGGTCCGATATGAAGTTAATGCTCCCCTTTGTCAAGCAAACCGGTTTAAAAACATGGTGCTATAGAAGATCCAATCTGTAGAATCAGCAAGGGATAAGGAAAAAGCATATCTTTTCCAGTTGCCTCCAGGATACCACGTCCATGGAAGGCTAAATTATATAAAACCACGATCAATTTTTTTGTCAAATTCATGTATGTTTATAATCTTTTTAAAAAAACTAATATCGACTTTTTTAAAAAAAATGTTGACCACATGTGATAGTCTAAAAACACAAAACATGTTCTGGAAGAATTGAAAAATAAAAAACATAAAAATAAATCCTATATGGATTTTTAATTTAATATATATATTGTGAAGACAATAGTTCATATTTAAGTGTCTTCTTAAGACCTAATTAAAAGGAAAGGGGATTAATCTTGATTGCAAAAGCTACCGTGATGATATCCTTATTGTTTCACAAAAAAAAATCATAGTAATAAACAAAATATTAATATTTAGACCAAGAAACAAAACAATGAGGCCGTACTTAGTACAATAATCACTTATAAAATAAAGAGAACAGGTTAGTGAATAAACTTAGACGTAGAAAAAAAATACATGATCATGCCTATTAAAATAATAACTTATATAATATAAAGAGATCGGGTTAGTAAATATACTTAGACGTTGTTTTTTTCCCCCTTTACTTTGCTTTTTATGAGAATAAATTGTTATTTGTGTTTGGTAATCCAATTTTCTATAAGAAGATAATTAATTTAACATATTTGAAAATATAATAAACAAAAAAAAAAAACTTCAAAAGGTATTTTGAAAACCCTTATTGAATACTAAAAAAATAACCACATATAAATAGTTTTGGTAGCTGAGGTAATAAATAGCCATACTATACAAATTTTAGAGTACTTCAAAAGTTATTACTAATGATTATTTTAAAAATAGAGATATACACAAATATTATGCATGCAGATGAGTTTCTTAACAAAATAATAATAATAATAATAAGACACAATAAATTCCTAACCAAAGTTTTTTAAAAGTTTTTTTTTTTTAATTATGCATGCATATGAATTTCTTATCAATGAAAAAACGAATTGTACAATCAAATCTCATTAATGAAAAAATTTAACCATCCATCACTGTCAATAAATATCAATCCTTTTTAAATAACGTTCTTGAACAAAATATGTTATTTTGCATATCCATCATGTGTTATTAGCAATAATTCCATGCACAATAATTCTATGTACGATAATGTAACAAATAAAAGATGCAATGATCTAATTAGAAGCATTAAATAATGAAATAAAATTGCGTTTTCATGTAGACCAGCGACCAAAAAAGTATTCAAATGTAATTTAAATATAGTTTAATGATTGTAAATTTAGTTATTTTTTTAGTAAAATAAATTAAAATTCAAATGATATTATTTTATTTAATTATTGTGCAATAAGAAATGATTATCCCATTATATAGACCAAGATTAACAAACCTCTATTTAAAAATAAAATAAAGTGGACCCGAGTCGAATTGTTGCGTGTTTGTTATGGAGGCACGCCCAGCATGATATCAGCAATTGGCATTTGTTGTTTAAACCAAAATACAGAGAATAAAATTGTTATGGTGATTTCATTAGAAGCGGTTTAACTAAAACCAAGGTATTTTCTCAACCTAAAAGACACTTTAAAAAAAAAAAAAAATCTTTCAATATCTTACCCAATACGTTTTAAAAAAAATTAATTTTACAAAAATAAATGCAAGCTTAAAGTACAAACTACATCTCCAAATTTTTAAATCATAAAATAAAATCTAAAGCTCAAATCCATGCATAAAACATAAAAATTCCATACATTACATTGAAAATAAAATTACGATTTTGCAAATAAAGAAAAAATAGGTTAAAAAATTAGATTGGATTTTATAGTATAAAAAGGTAGGAGGAAAGGGGGAAAACAGATATGGAAATAGAAACAATTTTCGAAACAAAAGGGACTAAACAAGAGGGATCCACTGAAGAAGATCCCTCTTCTTCTCTCTATTCAGAAGATGAGGAGAATCCTGACAAAATCGATAAAACGGAAAAGCTTCGACTGAATAGAAAGGGAAAAAATATATATTTTTTTATTTTTAAAAAATATGCTATAAAAATAAACTGTTTATGAAACTTTTTATACTAAATAAAAAAAATGTGAAAAGTTTGTTACCCCGCTTGGTCACTGCTTGCGTGTCAAACAAAAACGCAAAAGATAGGGCGTTGCTTTTTATGTGGATAAGGTAATGCTGCCACCAAGTAACCACTTATAATCATGTTTTCTTTTGGCCGGTTCCGATCAATCAGAATAATCGAATGGTTGCTTCTTTAGCCACTGTTACATGACGGCGGTGTAAAATGACAGCGGCATTTTACACGACGATAGTGTAGCAGGCATAAAAATCCAAAGTTAAGAGGAAAGCTTTACCTCCGTCAATAACGATGCCACTGTTTATCTCATTCTCCACTGCCCTACCCTACCAATAAATCATCATCATCGTTTTCATTCATAATCGAGATACAAGAAAGCTATGTTTATAGGAAGGGGAAATAATAGGAGTAAGAAAAAACCTTTAGGAATACATATGATCTATAGGATTATTAAGATCCAGATCTAATGTGTATTCTTGAAGCGTTTTTCATTTTTTATTTATTCCTTTTTAGCTTTACTCTTCCTACAAACCTAGCTTCTGCTTGTTTCTAATTTCAAGATTTTGATTCTAATCAAAAGGACATTTTTGTCAAAAAGATGATGTATGGGTTGGACGGAGAGAGTAAAGTTTAACATTTCTGTTACAGGAATACCAACTCTATAGGATACTACCAGAACTAAATCAGTATCCTCATCGGCAGCCACGAAAGCTTAGGTCACATGAGTATAAAAGCAATCCAACCCAGTCTGTAACTTTTCTGGCAAAAATGTCTATATATTAGTTAAAAAATTTAAATTTATCATCAAACAAAATGGTCCCGTATTACCTTTCTAACGCAAGTGGAAAATCACTTTCTCAATCACGTAGGTCGTGCAAGATTGCACAGACCAGATTCTCGGGAGACAAAGAAGTTCATTATGTCCTCTGCTCTTCTCCATTTTTATTATGCACGTTATTTTTTCCTAACTTTTTTTTCTTATTGTTAATAGTGCTATTTCATAAGAAAAAAACAATAATTTTGAAATTGTACATCCAACTAATCCGACTAGCGAAACTTAAGCTACACTTACAATGGATGACTTCGTAGTCCAAAACTTCTACCAAAAGAAGCATGTCAGATCTCAACGCAGTAAAACTTCCTGTCAAAATTTTCAAGCACCTCTTGAATGACTCTTTCCTGAAAGCAATATTGGAATCAAACTCGCATAATTGAAATGGGATGCAGAAAAACCCTTCCCAAATACCATGTTGGATCTTCATCGACTAAAAAGGTTCGATTCCCGCATGCACTCTGGATCGTTGAGAATCATAGGACAGAACAAGGTTGCATAAGATTGGCACCAACACTTGTTTTGCCGAAAATATACAAGTGGAATCTCAGATTCATCAAGCTTGCAACACTGGGATCAAAGAAACCCATCCCAGGCTTACATCAATGTAACAACCAGGGCCAACTTTCATGTTGCAGTCAGACTAGGACTTTGAACATACATCAAATTTCCTCATCAGCTCTATACTCTCGGCAATAGTTGACCCAGCAGTACCAACAAAACCAAGGGAAGCACAACTGCAAACACTTTCCTCCAGGTACAGAAGTATGTCAAGTAATCTCTGGTGTGGACAATTCATCTTCATCATACTCTCTCCATTAAGACCCCTCAGAACTGATCCAAACCTCAGGCCATGCCCTGAAACTGAAAGATTCATTGCTGTTTTCTTGACCAATTCATCTTCTTCTCTCAGAAAGTACAGCTTAAAATGATCCGACTCACTAGCCAGGTCCCCCAAGAAACTTCCAGTCCAATTACCTTGAGGAAGATCAGTCATCACAAATATATGTACAGGTTGAGAGCCACTCTGCTTTAAAGCTTCTAACTTTTGTTTTAAGCTCAGAAATGTTGCCTTCCAGTGGTTCTTAAACTGTCCGTCCAACAACCTAAGCTGCGCACAAAGAAAAGGAGCTTTTATGGTCTCTAAAGCAAATTTCTTTCCCGCACTTAGGATTTCAGGGACAAAAGGAAGAAATTCACTGTTGTCAATCAAAGATTGAATCTTTTGATCCTTTCGTGCTTCGTGGATATCAATATGTAGCTCTGAGCCTTTGTATGGAGCTGTGAAAAGGCTTCCAAATGCGAGGACAGTGGCTGATTCAGCTTCAGAACCAGGTCCAAGGGTCTTGTATACATCCTGGCGTCTCCTCACATATGGAACTTTCCTTCTCTTCTTTAGTTGTTCATCAGGTTGAAATGAATCTAACACTCTGTCCTCATCACCATTCTTGTAAGTCCAAACAGTGGTTCTGCAGTCTTCATCTACAGCGTATAAACACTTATCTATGTTACCATCAAACCCAGACAGTATAGATCCACACTGTTTAAGGCTATCAAACAAAGAAGATTGAGCATTCAAATCATTTATACAAGTGAAATCCACATTCACATTGCACCATAGCGATGCAAAAACCCTGAAATCTATCACCTGAATGGAAAAAGGTACCAACGACGAAATATCGATGATGTCGGCCATAGAGATGTACCTGCAAAATAACAAAGGGGAATACATAAGCTAATCTAGAAAAGGATTAGAATATTCAAATGAAGAAATATGATACACCTATTCTCCAAAACAAACAAAAGGCAAGGCATTTTCAAATAAACTTATGCAATTTGGTATTACTCCATTAATTGATGGAAACAGCGAGAGACATTAAAGCTTGTTAGGCATATTCTCCCATGCCCTAGCACTCAGAAAATAGCAGAGCAAGACATTAAAGTTTGTTAGGCTGCTAGGAAATGATTTCAAAAATATTACGCAAGTCTTACATTTCTCAACAATTGAGATTCAAAAATAAGGCTATTACTCGACCAAGCTGTCTAAATCTAGCAACTGAGCATTCCTTTGTTCATAGATAGAAGTAGGTATTGATTAAAAAAAACTGCAGAACAAAATATTTAGCTGGTCTTCCATTGGGAATCAACTTCAAAAGATATGATTGCAAGTCTCAGAAATCTCGATTTTTGATTTTACTGAAATCTATTTACAGTCTTAACAGTATCAACAGAGCTAAACATTCCAATTCTCACACATGCAATAAAGCAAAAGTTCTATTTCTTCTCGTTTAGAATTTCCTTTCTCCTACTACAGTTTTCTCGACAACCAATAAAAATCATCACATATTGACTGGATCTTATTGCCTAAACAGAAAACCTAAACTAAATTGAATCCAATATCAAAAACATAATCTCATACTTACACAAGAACCACAAAAAGTAAAAGAAACCCAGTAAAGACTAGAAAGCACATTCACCTGCCAGTCTTAATAAGCTCAAGGACATGATCCCAAACTGAAACTCTAATCTCTTTAGGTTCCAAAACCCTAAATTTAGGGCAACTACCAAGAGCAACAGCATGGTGATCAAGAACAGGAGGCACAATTAAGGTTCTATTCAAAATCCCGGCCATTAAAATCCCATTCTTGAACTCTGATAACTGGTTGCTGAACCCACTATGCGGTGCATACCACAGGAACTTCTCTCCTAGGTTTAGGGTTTGGAATTCAGTGCATTGTGAGAATTGAGGGCTATTTCTAAGGGTTTTGGAGAGAAGTGAATTTGGGGTTATTTTAAAGAAGGTAATGAAAAGGAAAATAAAGAGGAAGAGAGTGAAGAGAGAGATTAGTAAAAGAGAATGCAGAGATTTGTGAGATTGTGTGTGCTTTTTCTTGATCCATGATTTTGTTGGGTTTTTGTGCAGATTCAGAAGATTGTTCATCGCTTCTCGTCTTTCAGGTTTTTGGCTGAAGAGAACGATGCTTTAGCCTTCTGTTTTAAACGTTGGAAGACACTGAGGACGGTAATGGATGGGTGGCCCATTGGGCCGGTTGCAAATGTTTATTGCTGCTCGTTCTTCTTTTTGTTTCTTATTTTAATGAGTTAATGATTTTGTAAATCACTCAGCTATTTTATTTTTTTTTATTTAAAAAATCCTTCAATTATTTTTTCATGTTAATATCATTCAGTGTATGACATTTTTGCCATTATCACATCCTTTTGTCAGTTGATGTCACTAACGCAGTTAAAAATTAACACATGTCACTTTCTTACAACATGAAATTTTCATTGATATACATTTTGATCTCTATTTTCTTTTTTTTAGAAAAATTTACTTTGTTTATTGTATTTTATCTTTTTTTACAAAAAAGTCTTTATATTGAAAGCTGATATATGATTATAGGAATGGAATTTATCTCAAAGTATTAGTTTAGTTCTTGAACTTTATCATAATTTTAATTTGATTGGATTAATTGAACATGGATGTGATTTTTTATTATTATTTCCATTGATATTATTGTGATTTCATTGAGTTTTTTGTATTTTATGATATCATATATCTATTTTAAAATTTTTGACAAACTTCACAATTTGACATATAGGAACTTAATTGAAAAAAATTAAGTTCTGGATTAAATTGTATTCATCTGATGATTAAAAACAAATTTCAAGTCAAGAACTTTTGTGTAATAAATTAAAATATAGGGACCAAAGTAAATTTTTAAAAACAAATCAAAAACCAAAATGTACATCAATGAATATTTCATGTTCACGTGTCAATTTTTAACCATGTCAGTGACAGCAACTGACATAAAAATGTGATGATAAAATTGTAACAATCATAAATGGAATTAAGACAAAATATAGTAAAGGGAATTTTTAAATTTAAAAAAAAAAAAAAGGGTAGAGTAATTTATGAAAGCATTTACTGGGAGAATACTTCTTATACTTGTTATGAAATAAATATGTTTACTTTAACGAAACACCCTTCTTTTTTGTACAAATTGTTTGAAAAATTATTTACCGATTTTACTTAATTGAGAAGATTCAAAATTTAAAATCTTTATTTAGAGAAAAAAAAGAAAAAAAAAAGTAAGATCGTTTATTGAAAAAAAATTAAAACTATTTTCAAATATAAAAAAGCTCAATGATTATGTCCAACTTCCGCAGAAAACAAAAACAGTTAAGAGAGGCAGCAAGAACTGCTCTATGTCAAGCACGCAGATGGAGGCACATTCTGGACTCCTATTTTGATGCTTCAAATCTCATACAAATCAAAATCTATTAACTGTTAGCAAAGCAACCAATGAAGATTTGTTGTGACCACTTCATCAATAGCTCCTTTAACGAGTAACATTGAAGAAGAGTAGTTCTCTCTGAAGGGTTGCATGAATTTTGCTAACTGTCATCCTCAATCACCACTGAAAAATAGAGGAAGGTGCAGCAAACAGAATAAAAAAAAATGGACATAGAATGTTAAAGATTCAAATAACTCTTGGCGAGATGTTAAGGCCTACAAAAAACTAAATTGAGCAAGTTAATCCTAAATACTTAAAAGAACAACATTATTACAATAATCCCACAAACGAATATATAATGGAACCCAAACCAGCGTGCACATTATTAGTTTTGTATAGACAGTAAGCTGTGAAGCTCATCAGCACTGAGCTAACCTACATTTTCCATCTCAGCAAAGCTGCCTTTAAACTGCATGGATCGGGCTGCTGCTTCTGTTCATGCTCGAACTGCTAGAGGCTGGATTAGCATGGAAGGCAGATTGTCTAGATGACCCTTCAACCAATTTTAGGGAAAGAGAAGAGGGGCCATCACGACCAATAGATTCTCCTAAACTCAGCTTTGACATGCCAACCAGCTCATCAACATTGATTGGGTTTTTTGAATGCACCGCCGTTGGCTTCAGAACCTCATGTGTCTCTGTCTTTGTGGGTTCTGCACTGCGCTCAGACCAAAATGGAATAGAACATGGGAAGAATGGTGAGAAATAAGCTGGGTACACTACTGGATAAGCAGACTGTGAGCTATCTGGCTTTGGAGGGAGGGGTTCTCCCTCATTGGAGTTAGTAGAATCCATTGATTCACACTCTTCATCCAACGGAGGAGGAGCAGGCATTGGATTATCACTTTGTGCATCAGCCTGTGGATGGTTGGTAGATAAGAAGTCCTGTGATACCATTGGGGTGTCTGCTGGCTGCAAATACATAATGGACAACAAAAAAACATACATCAGACAACTCGAAAGGGAGGGAGAATCAAGAAAAGTTGTAAACTTGAATGCATCAATAAAATGTTCACATGGAAATAGGGATAGGACGAGAATTATCGCGACAAAGAAGTGTTAAGCAGTTATTTTAATGTCACATAGAGTATGAAGCTGCACTTGAATGTGCAATTCATTATTTATATAGGTAATCCAAAAAAACATGGTGCTCACTTCATCAGCAATTATATCAAACAGGCTGGAGCGTCTCTTCCTCCTAGATATATTGCTTTGCCTGATGAAATATTTCTGAGCATGACTAGCCACCTGAGTAGGTGTCCTTGATATAACATAATTACGAGCAATTCCTCGCCAGTCACCTTTACCAAGCTTCTGCAGACCAAGTAGAAACATCCTATGTTCCTCTTCAGTCCATGGAACACCTGCATAACTTATTATTAGTCATTCAGGATCAAGGACACGTATGCCAATACTAGAAACATATAAATCTGACACCACAAATTCCTCAGAAACTCCTTGTATATCTGCGATTATTTAGCACTACAAACATCATTTATAGTTTGGAAAGCACACTGTTCATCAAAACATTTCTTATATAAAAATTTCCTCCATACTTCTCTCGCCTAACCAACAATATACCAGGATGAAACTAAAACATGGGGGTCAAGGGACTCCCATACTACCCGTGTGTCATGTTCATGGTTTATCTTTATTTCAGCATTTTGAATGATGGAGCTTTATTTTCCAAAAGCTAATGATTTTTCCTTACAGAAGCAGACATTCTTACAAGAAACAAAACAATCAATCAACTATTGCGACAGTAAATAACTAATTACTCCATGTGAGCCTAGCTAAAAACAGTGGCAAAAATTTTAGAAGTTCTCATACCTCTATGCTCTTTTAAGGTAAGGCCTCAAAGGACTATAGTAATATCAGTGAAAGATCTCACACCAGTGAGGTTTCTTCCACATATATGGGAATGTGAAACAGAGAACAAATAAAGCACCACTAAAATGTGCCCAGGAAAACTATTTGCTTATTTAAGCCAAACCTTTCCCTTTCTGAAAACAAAGTAAAAACCAAGCATAATATTCTAAGTATTACTTTCTTTTCTTGTCCTCAACTATCTCAGCAATCAAACAAATGACTATCGACAATAATAACAGGTCTTTATAACACTAAACTAAAAAGAAACAAAATTTCAACCTCTAATTTGCTTCCAGAAAACAAAACAAAAATCCAACTTTTTTTCCCAAAATATACCAAACAGAATAAGACTTCGTTTCTCGGAAACTTCAATGATATATATATAACCCTCCTTGCACATGTTTATCTCAACAAAATAAATAAAGAAAAGGTGGGATTTTTCTTGCAGTCTCATTTCGTACAGACCACTCGCTAGTAGCTACTCTAATTTCTCACTAAGTACCAGTTAAAAACCAACAATAATTATGAAATGAAATTCAAATTTAAACATAAAAGAACACAATTTTAAACATTTAAACAGAGAAAATACAATATCTTAAAGCATAACCCAGTTCTAAACTAATGATCACAAATCAAATCATGAAACAAAAAACAATTATAAAACATAATTAGCTAACCAATTAGTTACTTCACAAAATAAAAATATAACCTTTCTTTCTCTCACGACTTGAAGAAGACCCAGGAACGAAATCCTCAGAAGCATAACCGTCTGCAGCGCCGCCGCCGTGATCAGGGGTATCACCGGGGGATCCGGGATTGTTAGACCCGGAAGCATGGGGTCCACTCATATTAGAAGACCCATTATAATGACTTAAATTACCCATACTAGCACTTTTCCTGATCGACCCGTCCGTCAATCGGACCCCAAACAACTTGACCCCTCGGTTGGGGCAGGTCCGGGAGTTGTGCCCGTTTTGACTGCAATGCGAGCACCGCCTCGTCATCTTTGAATCAAGTCCAAGTTACTTGGTTCTAATCCGGATCTAATAGGGGCCGAATAGCATGACCCGCATAGAAAGAGTGTTTTTTTCTTTTTTCCAGATTGGAGAGAGAGTTTGTAGATGAGAGAGACAATATCCTTATATCCTTAGATTAGGTTTATTATTATTAGATATAGGGGCAGATAGGTATTACCTGCGTCGCAGGATTTTTTTGATTTTATGTTCTTCGCCGTTGATCTGGTGGGACTTGTTAGTTGACTTTGACCCTGGTCTTTTCAGCGTAATAGTTTTTTTCTTGTAAGTTGCTAAGAGTGGTCAAAGGAAATGGGATGTCTATATATATGTATATATATTTAAAAAATCTGATTTTAATTCCGTGTTATTAAGTAGTAGTATTTAGCATAGTGATAGTCATGGATGAGATCACTAATAATTTCACAAGTAAATAATGGAAAAAACTTTTTTTTCCTTGGGTTTGGTCCTTGGTGATGCAGATTCCGGGATCCTCTCTTGCAATTTCTTGTTGCGATTGTTGGGTTATGGATCGAGACCATGTACTCTGCACCTTATGCTCGACCATGTTAAGAAATTTCGTCCTCTCGGTCTTGCTTTGGATTAAAATAACATTTACTATGTTTATTTTTAAGTTTTTAATTAGCAATATTTTTACAAATTTGTTATTTATAAAAAAAATTCAACATCGCATATAAAAGAAACAAAATAAGAGTGAACATATTTTAATGAATTACCTACGAACTATATTTACAATTGCAAGTTTTATCATGTCAAACATATATAAGTTTTAATTAAATCATATATATATATATATATATATATATATATATATATGACACATGTAACCGGACACACAAACACACATATATAGGTATCGTTTAATATATTCGGGTGATATGTCATCGCATGATCTCTAAAAGGTTAAAACACCTCATTTGGATAAGTATTTTAGATGACAAGTCTTTATCCGAGACATAGATTAAAAAATATATATATTATTAAGTCGTTCCCATAAGTGTATGAAATGCTTTCACTTCGAAAAATAACTACAAATGACCAAGCCCAATTCTATCCATTGGAAAAGACATATTGCACATGTATTAAATGAGAGTATGCATTAAAGATCGGCTTTGTCTATCTAATATCAACTATGATGATGCTATATTCCTCCAACTATGGCCTATCAACTTCTCAACTTCAAAGATATTTGTCCCCTAAATAGATGTCAAAAGCTACTGGCAACAAGCAAATGGAACATCATATCTCTCATTCCATGTAACATGACAAAACCATTAATTGTTAATAGTCAAAGGACCTAAGGTTTCAAGTTTTGAATTTCTCTATTAGTAACTAATATTCATCATCTCCTTAAATACTTGTATCACTACTTTCTCAAGCCACCATCTCCCTTCATATGCTAACTTAGTCATCGAAGTTCTTCAACCTACGGATGAGGAATTGTTTTATAAGTGTTCCAAATAGTTTGATCTCCGTCCATCATCAAACTTCACAACTATACCAACCAAGAAAAAATCATCTTATCGCGGATCATCAACTTACGCTCATAACCTCATCAATGGCTCTATTTGTGGAAAACTTAAGCTAAAAGTCTGTTTATCCATCGTATAATTTCCAAGCTTTTTTCATAGCTAAAAATCAAAAAACACAAACTATAGTGGCATGGTAGGTTTTGCTAGTTTGAATGCCCAACCTATAAGCTTTCTCCTGTTACAATATCATATTTAGAGGTTGATAGAGGCATTTTTATCTACACGAGAACATATCGAACCTTCACTACTCCATCATTAACACCACAAATGCCATCGCTAACTCAATTATAAGAGGAAAAGCCTCCATCGTCTCCTCATCAAAACATATGCAAACAATACTCTTTTATGGAAAAGGTAAGAAGACCGGATAAGATGGAGGATGAAAGAAGAAAATACAGCTACTCTTCTAACTCCGTAAATGATTCGCTCTCACTATTACAATAAACGATCGGCTAGTTAAAGCTTTGAGTGGGGGGAAGAGAGGAAACATGTAAGGTTAGAGTATCATTATAACATGAGGATGCCATTAGGGTAGCTCACCCTCCCAACCAATCTCATTGAGCTGCGAACTTAAACATCTATAGATAGGTAAGAAACTCGTTATCATCCTTTTGTTAAAGTCAAACTATTACAATCATAAAACTCAAGCCTCCTCAATTATTTTTTACGTTTTAAATGCTAAACTTTTAAAAGAATTCATCTTTATGAAGATGATTTTGCACTCATGTGATGGCAAGACCAACCCATAAGAGTATGTGTAAAATACCGAAGTACTCTTGAATTAGTATTCCAATATGCCGACACCATGTGTAAAATTCTTCCCACCATTTTTAAATGACTAGCCATGAAATAATACAATAACTTAGATTCTGAATCTATACTTAAATTTAAGGATCTATGCTTTAAACTCGTCATTTATTTCTTCGCTAACATCTCCATGGAAGCTGCATTGATTTGTTCATAGTTATATAGAGAGAGGATGGAAGCATTTTACTTATCTCTGTTGCTTCTACAAAACAATGCCGAAAGTGGATATATTATTAAAAACATGGCTATAGAGTCCCTCATAGGAGGAATTATGACGTTAGTCTCTATAGAAAAATCTACACTCTCTTCTACATGACCCTCTTCCAAGTTAAAAAAAGGTGATAAAAAACCATATCCAAATTAAAAAGAAATCATCATTTGACAAACTCACTCTTTTTAAAAAAATCAAAAGAGGAGAAAATGAAAAGAGAGAGATCTATACAAAGTCACTCTAACCAAAAGAAAAACCATAGAGGACTAGTCCATAGTCATCTAGTCTTTCTTAGGCTCTCAATTTACCTATTTAAATACTACTAAAAAAGTGTGTGCCGAGCATATAAAGGAAAAGATATATGAATCATTCTCATTTAATGAAAGATCCCTTATAATTTTATAGCTAGAAAAAATATTTCCTCTTCCGTAAGAAGAACGATCAAGATATGAAAAGATGTTTTTCCTTAAAAAAAAAGATATAAAAAGACTAATCTTCGAGGGTGACCTCAAATAATTCTTGAAGGGATGATCGAACTCAAGCTTGGGCTAAAATAGAGCATGGCTGAACAGTCGCCAAACTTGATAAAACTTTAACCAATCAAAATTCCATTAGTGGGCTTGGAAGGTAGAGTTATGTTAGACCTCTATTTCATGAGATAAAAGTAGCTATTAGCATAAGGAACAAAATCTTAAAATTTCCTACAAAAGGAAAAATAGCAATGGTTAAAGGCAATCATATAACTCTCTAATCATATCCGGATGTACCATCAAAAGATATCTTATGGAGATCGTATAATATAAATATTATCAATAAAAAAGTTCTAATTTTCTCTTTTCATAAATATCACTTCACATTCTTCTCCTAAAAATCTACTCCTCAAAGAGTCTATTTCTTCAAAACTCTACGTTCTTTTAAGAACTCATTCTTCTAGAATTCTAATTCCTTAAGGAATCTAAGTTCCTTTAGAACATCAATCCTTAGAGACTCCATTCCATTAGAAATTCATATTCTTTTTGGAATCACCCTTTAAGAACTTCACTCCTCGAGGAGTCTATTCTTTTAGTAATCCATGTTTTTTCATAAGTCTACTCCTCGAGGAGTCCATGCTTTTTTATGAATCTCTTAACTTTCTTATAGAAGTAGACATAAACTCAACTAGAAGTTCCATGAAACATATTGTAGAACTTTTCGAGCTCATCCTTTATCGCCATTAGATAAACGAACCTCGGTTTGAGCAAATCTTTTTCCTAACTCATAGCTTCTAGGATCTTCTTCAATTTCTTTACCTATTTGACAACAAGCTACTTCAAAACTATAAAAAAACATAAAGCTCCCTCTATATGTCGATGTCCTTTAATATTAGTTAGCTTTTTTACCACGATAACTTCTTTATCCTTATGGGCCTTAGCCAAATAGCTCTTCATTTCTTTTAGCCTTTTTTTTTATCTCAATGTAAAATGATTGCAACTCCCTTTTCTTATGAAAGGCTTCCTATAACTTATGGTGTTTCTCTACGGTCTCGGACATACATTTCTTCTCGGCTTACCACTTGCAAAGGTTAAAAGCTTATAAACAAAATTGGATTAATAGTTGATAAATAAAACTAAAATTAAGATGAATAGAAAATTTACTTATAATAAAGGTCAAATATATGACTTTTCTCCTTTTCTTCGGATATAAAGTTATCAATACGGAACTACGTTCTCATAAGACATGGAAAGATACATGAACATACGTGTAATCCTCTCACATTCCTTGACCTATAATGTGATTACATCTTTAAAAAGTATTTTCTTCATATGGAGTTATTCCTCTAGTATAAAAAAAAAACAAGTGAGGCATGATTTAATCCAATTCATAAAATAAAAGTAGAGCTCTTACACACTTCCTTGGGAAGAGATCATGTAACCAAAAAGGCTACTCCGAGTTGGATAAGAACCCCGACATTTGGTGGTACAACAAGAGCCATGACTTGACTAATGACGAGGATGAGGTTTTGAATACTATCTTAGAAAATCCTTTATAAAGAGAATAACAAAATTAATTTTTTACCTCTCGAGTAGGAAAGTTCCACCTCTACTATGCCCTATTTCCTTACTTTTTTACCTAATATTCTAAGGAGTCATCGAATGAGGCGTGGAGAAAAAAGAACCTAATTAAGAAGATTAAAAATTCACTCCCACTATAAGTTTAGGATTTGTCTCCTTAATAAGACACTAGTCTTTCCATCCTAGGTTGCTAATAAGATTGTCTAGAAGGACCGGTTTTACCTACCAACACAACATCCTTTTCTTCAAGCTCCTTAAAATCTATTGTAAACTTTTTCGATTCGAGCTTTTCTTACCAACTACAAAAACTAAAAAATAAGTTAATGTGCCTATAAAAAAATTTTAATCTCGATAAAAAAAAAATCAAGT